CTCCTGCAATTATAAAAATACCCCGAACTTATTCTCAGTTTCATGAACTTAGATGCTCCTCGAAATTCTTTCCAATAAAGGGTGATACGGTCAAAATTTGGTCAATATCAACTTGACGTATTTCTTTCAATTTTGCATTTAAAAAACCTGAACACCCCTCATTTTGAAGGTGTGTGTGTGTAGAATGTTGCTCCTATTTTGATTTTGGAATTCACTCTTCTGTTGTCAAAATGCCGTCCAAGCAAGAAGAGCAGCGTATCAAAATTTTGCTCGCGCATCGCGAAAATCCGAGCTACTCGCACGCAAAGTTGGCAAAATCGCTAAAAATTGCCAAATCAACCGTTACAAATGTAATTAAAGTGTTTGGGGAACGTTTGTCGACAGCCAGGAAGTCTGGATCGGGGGGAAATCGAAAACCGGAAGCCGCTGAGACGACAAAGAGAGTTGCCGGTAGTTTCAAGCGAAACCCTAACCTCTCTCTCCGAGATGCCGCAAATAAGCTGGGTGTATCGTCTACAACCGTGCATCGAGCCAAAAAACGAGCCGGACTATCGACTTACAAGAAGGTAGTGACTCCAAATCGCGATGATAAACAAAATACGACGGCCAAAGCGCGATCCCGGAGACTGTACACGACGATGCTGACGAAGTTTGACTGCGTGGTAATGGACGACGAAACCTACGTCAAAGTCGACTACAAGCAGCTTCCGGGACAGGAGTTTTATACGGCAAAAGGAAGGGGAAAGGTAGCAGATGTTTTCAAGCACATGAAACTGTCAAAGTTCGCAAAGAAATATCTGGTTTGGCAAGCCATCTGTACCTGTGGCTTGAAAAGCAGCATTTTCATAGCTTCCGGGACTGTCAACCAAGAAATTTACGTGAAAGAGTGTTTGAATAAACGTCTGCTGCCTTTCCTGAAGAAACACGGTTGTTCCGTACTGTTTTGGCCGGATTTGGCATCTTGCCATTACGGTAAAAAGGCCATGGAGTGGTACGCCGCCAACAACGTGCAGGTGGTTCCCAAGGACAAGAACCCTCCCAACACGCCAGAGCTCCGCCCAATTGAGAAATACTGGGCTATTGTCAAGCGGAACCTAAAGAAGACCAAAAAACTGCTAAGGGCGAGCAGCAGTTCAAGGCAAACTGGCTTTCTGCGGCGAAGAAGGTAGACAAGGTGGCTGTACAAAATCTGATGGCAGGGGTCAAGCGTAAGGCCCGGCAATTAGGAATTTGGAAAAGCGGAAGCCTAACTGAATATTTTTCCTGAATTTTATACTAATTGAACTTGAAAAAGAAATTTAATTTGATTTTTTAAATAAACGATTTCACCGATTTACACGCGTTTTCCCTTGACCAAATTTTGACCGTATCACCCTTTATATTGAGTTTAACTCAAAAAATAGCATTTAAGAAGATCATTTACCTCCGTGAACTCCTACAAAGTTCTACGAAGTCCATTTAACAACTAAGATTTTTCTAAAGCTGAGCAGTTCCACGCCAAATTACGAATCGAGAAAACTCGACCTTCTCCGATTTGCAAAATGGTTTGCTATGGACAATGATTCACATTTTTGCCAAAATTCGACCATTTTATGTCGTGTGAAAATTTCTAAATGGCATTCTTGAAATTTTTCAAAAAATTGTAGCCCGGAAGTAGCACTTCTGCTTGAAATGACTTCTGAGGCAAAGTAGTAATGTTTGTTTTTTTCGGGGAAAAATATACAAAAACATGTTTTTAGTTAATTCAAGTAAAATTAAAAAAAAAATATATGAAGGATCTCAAAATGTTGATCAATTTTTAATATATTTTCTATCAAAAAAAAAGTTCGTGCAAAATTAACACTTTTGGTATATCTAAAAAAAAATTGTCAAAAATCGTTAAACAGGAACTTTTGATAACATTTTTGAACTTTTTGTTAAAACACTTTTTCATGTAATTTATACTCAAAACCAAAACCATTTCAAATCATTCTCTGTGAAAAATTACCTAAGAAAGCTTACTATCAAAATTATTACCAAAAGTTATTGGTCTACGATTTTTGTCAGTTTTCAAGTGTTGGTGGTTTTAAACATTCCAAAAATTTGCACTTTATGTAAGATTTTTTTTTAAATGGGCGAGGACATTTTGTGATAGGGAAAATGACGGCTTCGGCATGACAGACTTTTTTCGGAAACCCAAATTGAAACGCTAATTTCACTGGATTTTCTTAAGAAAACACTTCGCTGAATGCATTCAAACTATTATTTAGGCTTTCAGTTTTAATTTGATTATATTTTTACTATTGAGAAAAGCAATCTAGCCGGGTTTTCTTGAAATGAAACACACGCACTACAAAATGCTCCTGATTTCGAGTTACCGATGAAAGCACAGCTGTTTAAGACGCAACTCAAATAGAAAGGTTGCCCACAATAGTCGCTCTCACTCGAGAAGATTGGAGCTTTGTAAAAGCGTTTCAAAACAGTTTCATACAATTCTTACGACTGAATTTGTTAGAACAACTGGCAGCAAAATATTGTAAACAAACCAATGCTGCATATGTGTGCGTTCCTTAGAGAAAAAGACTATAGAAAGATGGCCGCTGCTTAGGTTGCCGAGAATATGTAAATTTTCACTTAAAATAAATTACAAAACATTCTTTGTTTACTTTTCCCCGAACGACATTATTTTTCTCTATAACTTTACCTCCAGCGGCGAGGGGAGCGTCACATCCAAATCTCAATCACAGATGCTCGAAAAATCTCACACTAGCCAACCAATCTACTAAAAATCTTCTTGCATTTCTCGTATCTACTTGCATCGCGCATCATCTTTTTACAGGAAATCATCAGAATCGTCGTAAATCTTCTTTCTATCTACTCAGTGTGCGCGCAGCTAACCACAATAAAACAAAATCGTTTCCGCATCGTAGATAGAGTCTTCCCCCTCGTCCAGCGGCGCCCGTGGTGTAGTGGTAAGCGCGATTTATTCTCACCCCAAAGGGCCTGGGTACAATCCCAGTCGGCACCGCCGGTATTTTCTGAGGCATCAAATCTCTGAACACGCCTACCTTCGGGAAGTAAAGTCGTTGGTCCCCAATCTATGAGTTGCTGAGTCGAAAAGTAGGGTCCAGGGAAAGCAAATCAAGAGTCAGTTTTATAAATTTGGAATGTTAAACACCCTTCCTTGTGCGCAAATTTTAAAGAAGCGTTAAAGACATGTGAAGACATTTCCGTTGGTCTCATTGAAGACTTTTTCTAGATAGAATCAAAACATAGCATGCTATACGATAAACACAACAGTTGCTTCATAACACTTTGGGCTTTAGATTGGCTAACGTCTTAACCAAAATCTAAGACAACAAATCAAGAAGACTGGCAACTCTCCCATTTTCTCATACGAACGCTATGATACAGGTACAATCGCGTCATCTGCCGCTCAAAGGTAGATGCTTCGAACGAATTTGATAGCAAAGAATACATCCTTAGAAGAAAGGTTTGTGCACCCAACCGTGGGATGTAAGATTCGCTTACAATTATGTGGGATTCATCATCAGAGGATGTTAGTGGAGACCGCATGAACCGAGGATGTGATATACCCAGGCATGGAAAATCATTTGCATTCATTTCGTGCATTCATTTGCATTCATTTGCCTCTAACTTTTTTCTTCAACAGCATTTCGCAATCTATAGAGCTTTTGTAGGTTTTGTTATTAACTACAACTTTTGTCAACAAGTCAAATCCATATCTCTTATGCATGACGAAGCAGAGCGAACAGTATTTTACATTCACTGAAAAACAGTAACAAGTTCTGCCCGCTCTAGTTCGTTATGCATAAGAGATACAGATTTGAGTTGCAGGCAAAACTTGTAGTTAATAACAAAACCTTCAAAAGCTCTAGACATCATTTTGCGGAATGCTGTTGATGAAAAAAGTTAGAAGCAAATGAATGTAAATGAATGTATGAAATGAATGCAAATGATTTTCCATGCCTGGATATACCTAGCTGCGGTCCAATGCCAGAAAATTAGAGACTGAAAAATGTAGAGTGTATTAGTGAGTGAAATTAATTATGTCGCAAAAAATAGGAAACACGTTGCCGACTGGACTCGAACCACAAACGTTGCGATTATCAGACCTGTGCTTTCTCCACTGCTCTCTCCATGCTCCTGAATATGGGAAGCCTAAAAGCAAACACCAAGCGCTCACTCTCTCTCATACTCGACTTCGTTTGCTTTTTCTGCTGGAGAGATTCGAGGCAAGTGTGTGCGTCGTTCTACAATGTTATAAATAAAAAGCTTACTGGTATAGTCGAAAGCGTAGATAGAACTCGAAATAAAAAATACAAAAAACCATTACATCGCCTGCAAGGTCAATTTCTAACATTCTTTGCGATGTTCATAAACAGAGGATGATAGGAAACGGAACTAACATTCATTGTAATAGATTTTTGGTTGGCGTGTGTATTTTCTCATTTTTCTATGCGTTGTTTCCACCTTCACTCAAGCGCAGCGCTATTGTATCTGTCGCATGGATTCTGGCAAAGTTGCCAGTCTTCTTGATATGATGTTTTCGCTAAAATGCAGTAGTCTTGCAGAGACCAGCCCAGGTCCAACCAGCCATAAAGAGTAGATTGGCATGAAAATCTACGGTTTACCAGCATCCAAATCGTCCATAAACAGCTTTGAATGCGTCATAATCAGCAAATCTTGAATGTACACGAATCACAGCCATTAGGATTACTACCTGGGACTGTCTATGATGATGAAAAGTCGGTTTTAAAATATCTTATAGATAATCTTAACATTTTCATCTTTTGGCCATCAGTACTAAAGCCTCAACGTTGAACATTTTGTTGTGTTCCCCAAATGCGATTTCAATCATCCAATATCCCCTTAGTTCAATGAACTCTGCGGGATAAATTCAATCAACCCAACGATAAATCCACACCGCTGTTCGGATCGCAAACGCAAACACAATCATCCGGAAAATAAAACAACGCTCGGCGTGTTGCATAACTTACCTTATCATATAACAATCGTACGTGACTGTTCGTTGTGGTTCTGGATCCATTTCGGCTGTACTCTACCCATCATGCCACACTGTCAATGAATCGTTCCGATTTCGTTCCGGATGGCACTAGCCCAAAATGGCGATCCTGTAGAGAGCGAACTTCTATAGTGTGTCCACGAGCGTCACACACTCTGACACACCCACGCCTTCACACGGTGGATGTCACTTCACTTCCGGCTGTTGGAGCGAAAATTGCTTTGGTCATTTTCAGCTGTCGTTCTCGTTTTTTATCGACGTCCCAATGCACACTCAACTATCACCGGTTTCCGGCAGGATTCATCCACCATTCACGTTCGTCACTGTCCATCAGCTCTCACGGCGATAAATTATGTATGTTCCCTAATTCTCGAACCACCCACCCACCGGAACCGTTTTACTTCCTCTCTATCTCTCTATCTCTCTCTCTCTCTCACTCGTCGTAGGCCGTTCGTATTCGTATTCTCCATGCAAGTCACATCCGTTGCATAACTACACCCCTTTTTCGCCCAATATAATTCCGATACACTATCTGTATTTTATATATCTTTCTCACAATCCTACATCGGCTTCTATGCCGGTGCCAAAATCCCCCCGAGCGATGTCAGTTTTCAATTTTCAATTTTCTGCCGACACAAGCGCTTTCCCATTCATCGAATCCACTCTTCGGAATTCAATTTTCCTCTCCTCACTCACTCATTAAAATTGAATCGAAGTTGAATTTATGCCACCACGTTCATTCCGAGTGGGATTAAAGCATCTCTTTTTTTTTTATTTTCCTCCGAAAAAATATCCATTTAAAACCACCCGTTGCATGCGAAGCAAAAGTAAACCGATCCACGATTAACAGTAACGCACCGCATATATGTACGAGTTTTCAGTTCACTTCCTCTCCATATGCGGAGATATTTTTAATTTATCATTCCTCGAATGGATGATGCTCGCAATCGATAAGCCGAATTCAAGTTTTTTTTTTTCTTTTTCAGATATAAGCTCTAGCCTACATAACCTACTATTTTTGTTTGGTCTCTTCAACCACCACCATCCAAAAGCGAAATTTATGGGTTTTACTCAAATTTTATTGTGACTTTTTTATGCGCTCTTCTGTCGGTATTTAACCTCTTTTGATTTCGATCGTTCTGCTGTGACTGTGACTAGCTCAGCCCACGCTTTTATGGGCTGCTGTGCAATTTTAATACTACTGCCGCCATGTTGTTTACCCTCTGGCCCGGTTGCTATTTTGCCATTTAAGATGCCGTCGCTGGATGCTGTTTATGTTCTTCGGGGGTGACTTCAGTGCCTACTGCTCGCTCTTACTGGGATGCTGCACGACCGACCTGCAAGTAGTAGTGCGGAGAAGAAAATAAAAGTTTATTGACTGTTTGGAAGTTCTGGTTCTGTGGAGCATTTCAGTGCCAGTGGGGAAGATTTCCAGTTCCCGATACATAGAATGCAGCGAGTCTTGGCATTTTGGAGTTTTATATTGTTAAATACTTGTTATTCATCAAAACTTTTTATGGGGTTGTTTTGAGTTAATCGTAAACAAATACAACTTTTCAATGCAATTTGTAGCTAGTTGTCCATAAGGCTTGGAATCGCTGAATACATTCTCCGGATCGTAAGAACGAAAATATGATTTGTTGGCACTCAAACAAGGATCAAAAGTGGTTTGAAAGGGTTATCTCAAAATCTTCCTTGCATATTATTCAGTAAAATTGTTTTCTTAGAGAGTTATTAAAGCATATTTATTTTATTTTAAAGCATCCTCATCCCAATTAGCAGATACCAATCGATATAGTACACAGTGGTCCAGAATGGGAATTTAGCAGGAAAAATGAAGTCCGCATCTTGCTTTCTTGCCATGCGAATCTATTTGCTTTTTGCTGAGGGAAGTGTTACTGCTACCTAAAGTTACAACAAATTTACTACAGCAGTGCTTAATACTACCTGCATTTTTTTTACCTTGTTTGACTCTTATTCCACTCCACTACTCTTCCATTCTTATTTGGACGCTACCCGAGGTAATCCTGCCTGGATATCGATTTGGAAAATTCTTCTTCGATCCTTCGGATTCTTATAGTAATCTACTTGTAAGTCGATTTAGAGAAACGTTTTACTGCCGCCTTGGCGCCTACATGCAACATAAAAGGGCAATCTCTTTATCCACCTTCTCATGAAGTTCATCTGAGCAATCAATTTGATATGTTCACGGATGATGAGACTGATCCATCATTCAAGCAAAATTCAAGTAAACTTTCCCGTCTTAATTCCAAGAAGGAAAAGGTCCCCCTACTGTGATAATCACTTCCGATTTCCATGCTCATGACACGGAACTTTTGGACTTCGTGAAATTTAAATTTTCACTGCAAATTGGCCGCCGGGGTGATTGCCATGTATTGGCTGAAACCTTGAACGGATTCAAACGTCTTCTCAAGTATCTTACTGACAAGCAGCATCAATTACTTACGACACCAAAACTGAACGTGTGTTCAAGATTGTCATGAATGGACTGCCCAGTGGTGAATCCCTGGATGAGATCGATGATAAACTGGCAAAATTACATGGAGTTGTACCAATCCAAATAATCAAAATGAAAATGAAATCCCGTCCTGGCGATTCGCGCAACGGGATTTCTAATGATTTTTATTTAGTTCACTTCAAGTCTAGTGAAGTAAACAACCTTAAGGCCTTAGAAAAAGCTAGCCTAATGCTCCATGTCCAAGTGAAGTGGGAACACTTCAGGAAGACTGTAGGAAATTTCCAAAACCTCACCCAGTGCCGTAAGTGCCAGGGAGGGGGTCAAGTTAAATGCATGACTTGTGGTGGTTCCTATCACGCAAAGGACGACTGTCCTGAGAAGGAAGATCCTAAGAAATTAAAATGTTCAAATTGTGGTGAAAACCACAAATCCAATTTTTGGGAATGTAAGACTCGCAAGCGATCCTAAAATCTCGTTCTAAGCGACAGGTAGTAAACGCTCCACGTTCCCGAACAGGTACAAATTCCTTTGTTGTTAACAACGGTTCGCGAGGAACAAATTCTACTTTCGTGCCCGTAGATACAAATATCACCCCTGCTTCAAATGTTTCATCTATACTCCACTCACATCTGCTCCACTCACTGCTAACAATGTTCAGCGTGTAAATGGAGCTAAAAATGCTGCTTTCGCAGCGGGTAGAAATGATAATACTAGCCAACTTAATTCTAACTGAAATTTGATAATTTTAACTTAGGAAGTAATGCTCCTAAAATAGATTTTTTACAGAAATCATTAATTGACATGATTACTGAAAGGCTATAAACTAACTCCATCTTCTTCTTCTTTTTCGCATTTCAAGCTTATTGTGTATGGCATTATTAGCTTATTGCGTGCTCTCAACTTAGTGTTCTAGATGCACTTCCACAGTTATTAATTGAGAGCTTTCGATGCCTGTACCATTTTTGCATTAGTATAATTGTGTGGCAGGTACAATCATACTCTATGCCCAGGGAAGTCGAGAAATTTTAAAACCAGAAAAATTCCCAGACCGGACCGGGAATCGAACCTAGCCACCTCTAGCATGGTCTTGCTTTGTAGCTGCGCCTTCACCGACTGAGCTAAGGGAGGCCCCTAACTTCATGTTTAATGCTATTCAAACTGGAGTAAAATTTGCGAACAATATCACCATGACTTTGAAATTAAGTAATGGATTTTAAATCATTGAATATTTTGGATTGGAATGCTCGACCCCTTAACGATAATGAAGACGAGCTATTTAACTTTTTGAAAGTTCATAACGTGCATATAGCTGTTATAACTGTAACGTTCCCTAAACCTGACCATGAGGTTAAAAAGGACGCAAATTATTTCATTTATCGAAAAGGTCGTCTTGATGGAGCCGGTGGTGGCGTTACCAAAATCGTTCATAGACGAATCAAACATAAAATTCGTTCTTCATTTGAAACCAAAGTTTTTAAAACTTTGGGAATTTCTGTCGAAACACAATTTGGACAACTTACTTTTATAGCTGCCTATTTGCCATTCCAAAACGTAGGCCAGCAAAATAATTTGCTCAAGGGTGACCTTCAGAAACTTGCCCAGCATAGGTCTAAATTCTTCATTATTGGTGATTTTAATGCAAAACACGGCTCATGGAATAATGCTCAAAGCAATTCCAATGGTAATATTCTGTTTGATGATTGTTCGTCAGATTATTATACTATTCTATATCCAAACAGCCCAACATGCTTTTCTTCAGCAATAAATCCCTCAACTATTGATTTGGTCTTAACTGATTCATGTCAACTTTGTAGCCAGTTGGTAACTCATGCTGACTTCGGTTCTGATCACCTTCCAGTAACTTTTGAAATATCCCAAGAAATAATGTGTAACCCCAACAGCTCTACTTTCAATTACCATAGAGCTGATTGGGAGCAATATCGAACATTTATGGAACATAACTTCGAACCAAATATTCCACTGCAAACCAAAAATGATGCTAATTCTGCTCTTGAACCTCTGACTACTTCAATAGTTGAAGCAAGAGCTGCCTCAGTACCAAAATGCGATGTTAATTCAATTCAATTATAATAGGCGACGATCTTCTGCTCTTGATCCGTCTGAAAAATGTCCGTAGGAGGCAATATTAAAGAAAACGCGATCCTGCCATGAATGTTATCTGACGGGATTTACAAAAACAATTTGAAACGCGATTCTCTGTCCTGAGGAACAAAACTTTTGAAAATAATGTTTCTAAATTAGACCCGAGTTCCAAACCCTTTTGGAAACTCACAAAAAATTTGAAAAAACCTCAAAAACCTATTCCAGCGCTTAAAGAAGGTGGTAAAATTTTGATCACAAATTTGGAAAAAGCTCAGAAACTTGCTAAGCAATTCGAGAGTTCCCATAATTTCAGATTGGGTCTTACTAGTCCTATTGAGAATCAGGTTGCTCGGGATTATCTGAATATTTTCTCTCGGGAAAATATTTTTGATGATTCCTGGAGATCTACAACAACGAAAAATTTCAAAAAATGAAAACTGCTGGTGGTGATGAAATTTTCTATATCCTCATAAAAAAAAACTCCCAGAGAGTACATTGTCTTTCTTGGTAAAATCATTGAACAGGTGTTTTCATTTGACATACTTTCCTTATAAATGGAAAAATGTAAAAGTTGTTCCAATTTTCCAGCTACAGCTTATAGCTACCGTCCAACAAGTTCAATAAGTAAACTTTTTGAAAAGATAATTTTAAATAGAATGATGCTTCACATCAATACGAACTCAATTTTTATAGATGAGCAGTTTGGATTTCACCATGGGCATTCAACTACTCATCAACTCTTAAGAATTACGAATTTAATTCGTTCAAACAAATCTGAAGGCTGCTCAACTGGAGTGAAGAAGTTAAATTTCACATTCTATATTATAAAATTAGTTCAAAATTATTTAACTGACAGAACTCATCAGGTAAATTAAAATTCCAAATCTGAACGACTACTTGTTAGAGCTGGAGTTCCTCAGGGTAGCATTCTTGGGCCTTTATTGTATAATATTTTTACCTTCAATCTTCAATTGCAACGATTTTAGTTTTTAGTTTTAAGATGACAATTGTTGACATGCAGGTATTTAAAACCTGTTTAAAATACTGAATTTCCAAAGCAAAAACAATGTAAACACACTTAGATATATATCATTACAAGTAAGAGTGGAAAGTTACTGTAGTAGCTGGAGCATCTGGATTAAAATGAAATACACAATACACAATTAAAAAAATGTTTTTCTCATAAAAATAGTATGTAACGCTTTCATTCCGAGGTGCTTCAATCAGCACAAAAAATATTTTTTTAAATTGGTCTGAAATAAATAACTCCTCCAAATTGGGTCCAAATCTGAAGAGCTCTCTTTGGTAATTTTTCTCGGTCACCTTAGCATTCTCTTGGAATTCTCTTCAGATGTTCCTTCGAATGCTCGCAAAAAATCCAAGAAACTAGAATTCCTTTGCAGTTGTCCTGAGCACAAATTTTCATGTAACTCTCTTCAGATTCTCCTTGGAATTTTCTTTTGAATTTTCCAAAGAATTTCAAAGGAATTTTCTATGGAACTTCTCTTAAATTATTCTAATAATTGTCAAGGAATTTAAAAAAAATCATTGATCTCAGCAACGCACAGTGTGACGAAATCAAAAATAGTGGAACATGGCTGTTTGCGACCAAAATATTGAGTGTAGCATTTTGATGTCTTTTAAAATGTTTTTTTCATTTTTTGAGTGCTTTAATTGAGTGGTGACAATTTTGTTTTAATAGGGGTATACACTTAGATAAAAAATACCTTTTTCTGTCATCTTGAAGTTGATGGA